TTTGCTAAGACTGGGCTGGGCAGGCCAAACACAGGATGGGGGCCAAGGTCGAGGCCTAGTCTAAAAGAGGGCCCAGAGGAACCTGACTAAAGTTTGATCAAAGAGAGAGTCTTTGGGGCCGGCCCCGTGGCTTAGCGGTTAAGTGCACGCGCTCTGCTACTGGCGGCCTGGGTTCGGATCCCGGGCACGCAACAATGCACCGCTTCTCCAGCCATGCTGAGGCCGCGTCCCACATACAGCAACTAGAAGGGTGTGCAACTATGACATACAACTATCTACTGGGGATTTGGGGGGGGGGAAAAGTAGGAGGAGGATTGGCAATAGATGTTAGCTCAGAGCTGGTCCTCCTCAGCAAAAAGAGGAGGATTAGCACAGATGTTAGCTCAGGGCTGATATTCCTCACAAAAAAAAAAAATAATAATAAAAGAGAGAGTCTTTGTCAGGGGTCAACCTGTTGAGAGCTGCAGAGATGACTGAGAAGTGTAGCCATGTGGAGGTCATTGGTGGCCTTAGCAAAGGCTGTGAAGAGTTTGAGGATATTTTTCATATCGTTCTATGTATATACTGAAAATACTTAATTTTCAATATAATTCCTTTTGTATATCCACATAAGGAAATATTACATAGCCATAAAAAGAATGAGATAATTATTTGTGTACTGATATGGAATGATTGCCAAGCTAAATTTTTAGGTGAAAAAAAGAACAACATTTATGGTAAGTTAGCATTTGTATAAAAAAAGGAAGATAAAAATACACATACATATGTGTGGGAGTGTGCCCACATATGTATGCATTTGCTGGTGTATACATAAGATGCTTCTAGAAAGATATACAAGAAACTGGAAGCATTGGTTGCCTGTGAGGAGAGGAACTCAGTGACCCAAAGCAGAGTTGAAAGGGAAATTTTTCAGTGAATAGCCTTTTGCACCTTTTGAATTTTTGTACCATGTGCAAGTAATACTTATTTTGAAAATTAATATGTAAATATTCTTTCTGAGATCATATTATAATTATGATTTATATTTTATTGGACTTCTGTTCAAATGACAATATAAGGAGATCTGTCTTCATTTTCAAATTATTATATGCATCCCATTTTATAGACAAATCATTATTTGTCTCAATGTCTCCGATTTTCATTGTTGTAAACTACATTGCAGGACGCGTCCTTGTACATTCATATTTGTACACACATGATTCTGTAGCATAAATTCCTACAAATGGAACAAGATACTTCCACCTTGCCTTCCAGAAAGGCTGTTCCAGGCCACACACCTCCCCCATCCACACCAGTGTGCACCTGTTGCTCTACATATTCTCCAACACTGAGTATTGTCTCCGAATTGTGTGGGGTATGTGGTGTGGAAGACATGATGCTGAGTGCTCATTTGCTTTTCCTCTGGAGCGCACAGATAGGCTACATTTCCCAGCATGCCTTGCAGTGAGGTAGGGCTGAGTTCTGGTTGATGGCAGTAGTGATGTACACCAGCACTTCTAGAACTGGCCCCTAAAAGACCTCCCTGTGATCCTTGAGCTCTCTCTTTTCCTTTGTCTGCATGATGGGTGCAGAAAGTCAAGTGGAGGACTCTGAGCCTAGAGCCCTACTGGGTTAGGCAGGGAAATAAACTTTTTTTTTTTTTGGTAAGGAAGATTAGCCCTGAGCTAACATCTGTTGCCACTCCTCCTCTTTTTGCTGAGGAAGATTCGCCCTGAGCTAACATCCGTGCCCACCTACTTTATATGTGGGACGCCTGCCACAGCATGGCTTGATAAGTGGTACGTAGGTCTGCACCCTGACCCGAACTTGTGAACCCCAGGCCGCCGAAGTAGAGTGCACAAACTTAACCACTATGTCACCAGGCTGGCCTGGGAAATAAACTTTTACCATATCCATTGCTACCCCACACCCTCCCTCTTAACTGGGATTTGATCCCATTATCAGGACCTGGCACCCAAGTCTTTGCTCAACTGTCATCTTCTCAAAGGGCTTTCCCTACCACCCAACTTAGCACAACCTCCTGTCACCACCCCACTTATTTGAGCACCTTTGAGGGATCTGGTTGTCTTCTGAAGTTAGCTGATACTTGTATTTCCTATGAACCTTCTTCCCCAGACAGTGACGCAACCTTGATTAACCTGGCTAGAGCCACTTAGGACAGGAGGTGAGAGAAAGCAGCAGTTGATTACTAGGCCCCTAGACTTCAGCCCACCACTCCACCACCATTCTGGGGCCCTTATACCTCACAACAGCAGCTACAGCCACACTTCCCAGGCTGTGACCTGAACAGAGCATGGTGACCACCTCCTTCATTCATTCTAAAATATTTATTTAGCACCTACTGTGTACCAGACACTATTCTAAATGCTTTGGATATATCAGTGAACAAATGAGACAGATTCTTACCCTTGTGGAGCTCACATTCCAGTGGGAGAGACAGACAGTAAACAACAAACCTAATAAACATGTGCTTTATGTGGTATGTGAAGAGGTGATAAGGGGAAAAGAGCAGGTTATCAGAAGTGCGGGGCAAGGCGTAGGTGTCTGTGCTAAGTAGAGTGATGAGAAGGTGACATTTGAGAAAAGACTTAAGAGGTGACAGTTAGTCACATGTTTATCTGGGAGAAGAAGTTTCCCAGCAGAACAATTATGCAAAGGCCCTGAGGCTGGGCCAAGTCTGGAGTGTTCAAAGAGCAGGAAGGAGGCCATGTGGCTGGGAACTTGGAAGAAAATGAGGTCAGAGAAGTAATGACGAGGAGGGTGCCCAGGTCACACAGGGCTTTGGAGGCTACTAGAAGGACTTGGGCTTTTACTGAGCAAGATGATGTGCCTTTGCACAGTTTTAGACAGAGAAGTGACATATATTCTGACTTACATATTAAAAAGGATCCCTCTGGCTATATATTTTTTTTCCTTTGAGGAAGACTGATGCTGAGCTAACATCTGTCGCTAATCTTCCTCCTTTTTTCCTTTTTTCTCCCCAAAGCCACAGTAGATAGTTGTATGTCATAGTTGTACATCCTTCTAGTTGCTTTATGTGGGACGCGGCCTCAGCATGGCTTGATGAGTGGTGTGTAGGTCTGTGCCCAGGATCCGAACCAGCGAACCCCAGGCCGCCAAAGCAGAGTGCGCAAACTTAACCACTGTGCTACCGGGCCAGCCCCTCCTCTGGCTATTGTATTGAGAACACACTCGGGGTGGGACGGAAGTGGAAACTGGGAGAGCAGGGAGGAGGCTGCTGCAGAAACTCAGGCGAGAGTGATGGTGGCTCGTGCTGGATTTGGTAACAGGAGGTGGTGAGAGGTAGTTGGATTATGGATAAATTTTGAAGATGTAGCCATCAGGATTTCCTAATGCACTGGGTATTGAGTGTGAGAGAAGAGAGTGGTCAAGGAGGCTCCAAGGTCTTTGGCCTGAGCAGCTGGAAGAATGGAGCTGCCTGAGTTAGGGAAGGCTGAGGGTGGAGAGGTTTAGGAGCAGGAGCAGGAGCTCAGCTCTGAACATGGTAAGACTGAGATGTTTCAAGACATCAAAGTAGAGATGTTGGGTAGGCAATTGATATGCAAGTCTGGAGTTTGGGAGAGAAGTCCGAGTGAAGATTAAATTTCAGAAGTTGACTACCTTCCATAGTCGCCGTTGCTGTTTTTCCCTTGATCTATAATTTGTAACTCACAATAATGAATTATCCATTGCTGCGTCACTCTGAATGTTGTGACTTAAGTGTGCAACTTAAGTACATTGCAGTTGGCTGTTAACAGTCTGTCTTTGACTGTGGATTACCTCTTGTGCTTTGTATCGAGACAGTGCTAGTTTAAATTTTAACATTGTGAATATCATGACTGTGTTATCTAGTTCAGATAATGAAAATGAGAATGATTACAGTACCAAGCCAGCGTGAGCCAGACATCACCAAAAACACAGACTAAATGATTGTTATTTTAATGACAAGTGGGAGGACACGTATAATTGGATTAGGAAAGTAAGTAACCAAGCAGATCATACTGCACGTTATTGCAGAAAAGAATTTGGGATTGTGCATGATGCAAAAGGGTATATGAAAGCACATATGGAGACTGAATCTCACAAGTTCAGGATGAGACAGCCAAGTACTTCTAAATCTATCAAAACTCTTTTTTTGTTTTTTTTATCTCCCCAAAAGACACCAATGCTCAGTTGAAAATAGCAGCCACTGAATTAGCTTGGGCACACCACACAAACAAGCACCTATTAGCATATTGTTCCCTTGACTGCTCTATGAAACTGAGTAAAATTACATTTACTGCAACTAAAATGTCCTGTGGGCCAAAAAAAGGGAAACTCTAATAAAGTTTTGGCGTGTTGGCCCCTTACAGTGCAAAACTCACCCGGCCAGGCCTCGCCAGTGGCCATGCTGTCTGCGGTTATTCAGCTGCAGCACGGCAGCACCAGCAGATGCTCCCCTAGCTCTTAGGCAGTTGGGTTTGAAAAACGAAATTTCAAATCATCTTCATCTATGAAGATTGTAATGAAACTGCAGAAAACATAAAACAAAAGATTGCCGATCTCTTTCCAAATACAAACTGGACTTTGCTTATTTATCTGCATATTTGGCAGACAGCGCAAATGTAAATTTTGGCAAATCCCATTCAGTCTATAAGCTCCTTACCAATGAAAACAGAAATATCGTACTTGTTAAGTGTCCTGGACATCTTGTGGACAACACTGCTAAACAGGGAGGTGATTTACTTACCTATGGTATCGAGGCTTTCATAACGTGCATTTTGGTCACTTCTCCATTTCCTCAAAATGTGCAGAAGAATTTAACGAGACTTTTTACTTTATCACTTTTACTTGATAACATAAAATTCACTTTGACTCTCAGCAAGCCCACCTCACGCTGATTCTTGGTGTCAGTCCAATGTGATGACATCAAGATAAATATCCTCTCAACAATACCATTGAACATGGAATAATTAGGATTTTCAGTTTCAAAACTATGTAAAAGAAAAAGACATCCTAAAGACTGCAGGCAGTTTAGAGAATTATTACTGGAAAAGGAAACAGAAAAAGCAAAACTATTTTACTGTATCATCAGACAGAAAGGAATATGTCATTGTTAATTTTCACTCAATATAGCTTATATCCATTTTAGTTAATACTATTGTATTTACATTCTTCTTTGTAAAAGTCTTGCATTTGTGTATCTTAAGAACATACATGCTCCCCTGGGCCTGGTTCCCTGGGGCTTGGAGGCTAGTGGGTATAGATTCTTTGGGGGTTGCTCTGTTTCTTCATTTTTATGGTCTGCATTTCCCCTCTTTTCCTCACCAGCATGTTGCACTGCTGCATCACTCATGGTGTTATTTTCAGTGGCTTCTCCTGGATTTGCCTTGGGACTATCCACCCACACTCTGCAGCAAAGGGCAGCTCCAGTAACTGTGTCCAGGCCTCTGTCCTTGGGAGCCTCGGGAGGGCACAAACTTGTCTAGGTCCTTGGCGTCTTTGCTACTTCTTAATACTTTTCAGGGTAACATTCTTTCCTTCTGTCCAGCTGACCTGACGCACTATGCATCCCATAACTTCTGGGCCATCAGAAAAGAAGGAAGGGATTCAAATTAGTTAGATCTGATCTTATTTCATATGTCACCACCTCATTGGTAAATATTCACTGGGTTAAAAAAGAAATACTATAGTGACACTCAGAGGCTCCCCAGACTCTGCAAACTATCATCAGGTTCAGAATAGGTTCAACAACTTGCAGAACGTTGTTTCCAAGCAAGTTAATAGAAAACACAGTCAACCCAAAATGAGGAATTTCAGTGGGCAGTGGTTCTCAGCCTTGGCTGCATATTGAAATAGATTTTAAAGTCGGTATTAAAAATATATCTATATCCATGTCTGGGTCTCACCCCAAGAGATTCTGATTTAACTGGTCTGGGATGTGGCATCAGGACTTTTTAAAAGCAGCACACTTTATGGTAGAAGCCAGCTTACTTTCTTTCAAGATTATTAATTTCCTTAGAGAAATTAAGAAATTAAATATTTGCCCACATTCTGCCTCAAAGTTTTTGACAGCATAAACCTAGGTGCCTGACCCACTGAAGGTAAGTGCTGACTGAAATATTTATCATCATCATAGTGATTATCTTTAATCAGAGTCAGTATGTTCAACGGCAAGCACCAAATCCTCAGTTCAGCCGTCAGGTGAAATGGAGAGGCTGGGAGAGTCTGCTTTCTGGCCAACACACCCACATCCTCACCTCCTTACTCCTTTCATGCACATTCTGCCTCCTCAGAACCCTGAGTGTTATCAGCTCACTCAAGCTCTTCAGCATCTGCACACGTCCCCCAACACTGCCACCTGTCCCTCCCCTACTGTTCCCAATACTTCCCCATCCTTCATGCCCACCACTTCTAGCTGGCCTCCTTGGTTGAATGTAGCCACTATTTGTGAACTGGGTCAAGCATTTTGAAAGCATTCTTGTTATCTCACTACCTCCACCAACGGTGGCTGTGGTGGGATATGGTAATGGGTGGCAGCAGTGACAGGCAGCAAAGATGGTCAGGTTGATGATGGTGGCTGGTGCTGAGGCACCCATGACAGGCTGAGGCAATGGTGGCCATGGCAACGGGTGGTGGCCATTGAAGTGAATGGCCACAGGGTGGCTACCACTGAAGTGAACCAGTGGGTGACAGCAGCTGAGGCAGCTGCTCTTTGCTGGAGACCTTTCTTCCCACCAGAAACCCCCCAGCCTGTGTGTGTGTGGCAAGCAGGAAGTGGCAGGGAATTAAAACTCCAGCCCCCAAAGAAGCCCTCCACCAAATGACCGATAGGGGTCAGTGTATAAATACCCTCACCCCTTGACTGGGAAGCATGTGTTCTCCACTGTTTCCCAGAGTTCTCCAGAGAATTAAGCTCTTGCCCACAGTGGCAACTTGCTTGACAGTGCACCCTTGAGGTGCTGCTTTCCCTCCATCTCACTTCCCTCTGCCCTACCAATGCTTTCTGGGATCATCTCCCAAATTCTTGTTTCAAAGTCTGTTTCTGGGGAAACCCAAGCTAAGATGGTGCATCATGAACCAAGGATTATGATTCAAGCACATATGGCATAATAACAAAAACTGACCATATGCCAAGCCATAAAGTCTCAACATATCTCAAAAGATTGAAATCATATAAAATATGTTCCCAACCCAATTGCAATTAGGCAAGGTAACTAGAAAAATCCTGATATGTTCATAAATTAAGAAATACAATTCTAGGGGCTGGCCCCATGGTGTAGTGGTTAAGTTTGGTGCATTTCACTTTGGCAACCCAGGTTTGCAGGTTTGGATCCTGGGCACGGACCTACACCTGTCATCCACACTGTGGTGGGGAACCACATATAAGGTAGAGGAAGACTGGCAACAGATGTTAGCTCAGGGCTGATCTTCCTCAGCAAAAAAAATAATAATAAATAAACTTTCATTTCAAAAAGGTAGAAAACAGAAAATTAAATCCAAAGAAAGAATAATAAAGAGAATTAATTGAATTAAAAACAAATACACAAAATAGAGAGCATTGGCAAAGCCAAAAGTAGATTCTGGGAAAACAGTAATAAAAGTGATAAACTCCTGTCAAGATTGATCAAGAAAAAAAGGGAGAGGGTACAAATAACCAATGTCAGAAATGAAAAAGGGGCTTTCACTTAAAGCTCCTTAAAGGGGCTTTAAGATTCTACAGTCCTTAAAAAGATAATATGAGGGTGACTATAGTTGATAACACTGTATTGTATAATTGAAATTAGCTAACAGAATAGAATTTAAATGTTCTCACCATAAAAAAAAAAAGTGAGGCTATTATGAACAAATTTATGGCAATTTGAAAATTCAGATGTGAGAAATTCCTAGAAAAATACAACTTATCCAGACCCATGAAGAAATAGAAACTGTGAAGTTTTTAGGTTAGCTTAAATATGGCACAAATTCCGTGCAGCCAAATGCCATCAAGAGGTGAAGTCTCTCCACCCCTTTAATCTGGGTTGGCCTCATGACTTGCTTTGACCAATAGAACGTGATAAAGGTGATAACTTTTGAGATTTCCATTTTTGTTCTCTTTGACACCTGAGACCACCATACAAGGAAGCTGGTCTAGATTACTGGAAGAGATGCCACTTAAGAGATGTTCTGGAGCAAGCCCTGATGGCCTAGTGGTTCAAAGTTCAGTGTGCTCTGCTTCGGCAGCCCAGGTTCGGTTCCCAGGCACAGAACCACACCACTAGTTGGTCAGTAGCCACACTGTGGCAGCAGCTCACATAGAAAAACTAGAAGGACCTACAACTAGAATATACAACTATGTACTGGGGCTTTGGGGAGGAAAAAAAAAAAGAGAGAGAGAGAGGAAGACTGGCAACAGATTTTAGCTCAGGGCAAATCTTTCCCAGCAAAAAAAAAAGAGAGATGTTCTAAAATGTAGTGTTGATTTCCGTTTTGTCTGTTGTAATTATACTTCTTTTAGTTACATGGAATAGAACCCCACTTTAGCTTACTCAAGCAAAGTGGGGTTGGCTGAAAACATACACAGAAATCTGAGGGTGAATCCACAGCCCAAGGATACTGGAGCTGGAAACAGAAAGCCACCAGGACCCAAGCAGCCCTTTCGGGGACCACAGGGACTGATCACAAATCCTCTCTCCACTATCTGGGTTTTCTCCTGTTTTGGCCACATGGCAGCTGATGGCTCCTGCAACCCTGACTGCATAGGACTTCCACCCGGGCTCCTAAGCCAGCTGACAACTTCCTTTGTCATAGAGGTCAAATCCCCAGGAGAGACTCTGGCTCATTTTTCTAAGCCAGATCACAAGCCTAAGGTTTCAAATGGCCAGTCCAGTCAGTGCTGACCAGTCACTTCCAATTTCTGGAGCCTTGGAATCACCTCTAGGCAGGAGCAACTTGTCCAAATGGAGAATCTGTGTGCAGGCCCTGCGCATGCTCAGCTCAGAGCTCTGGAATCTCTCTCTCCCCCACATACTTTTCTATCTGCCCTCTGTCCTTTAAGATCTGCCCCTGCTGGGGAGCCCGTGATCAACCAGCTGTGCCCACAGAGCCTGTGATCCTGAGAAAGAAGCTGCAGCAGCCACTGTTGGTACCTGCCCAGATTCACTCAGCACTCTCTTCTGTGTGCTGAAGCCTGCTTACTCGATTCCATTACTCTCTGCTCAGGCTCTCTTCTGATGGCAGGAGGGCACTCAACTACACGCAGGGCAGGCAGACGTGCTAGAGGGTCAATGCCCATGAAAACAGCCCTCAATGACAGATGGGGAGTTGGCGGATACACACTCCAACTTCTCTGCCCCTTGGATAAGGTAACTGAGGTGTGCTGTGCAGTCTCCCAGAAGTCCCCACTGGGATTGAGCCCCAGTTGCCCAGAGTGGTAACTGGCTTGATAATGCACCTTTTATTGGCTGCCTTCCTCTTATCTTACCTCTCCACTCCCCTATGAATGTTTCTGGAATCATGTTCCAAATATACTGTCTGCACTCATTCTCAGGGTTGAATTCTGGAGGAATGCAAACCAAGACAGAACAGAAGTCCAGTGCAGCAGACTCTAAGCCACATTCTTCAGTGCAGCTGTTTTCAATAATAAAGCCAGTATTTTCATTTGCATTGCCTAATGCCCATGTCTATCACTCAAGTGGTTCTGAACTCAAGAGGGAAAGACATGTGTTATTTATTGCCCCTAAGCCTCAAGTAAACACTCAATAAAGACTTGGTAAATGCTAGCATGGAAGACAGAAAGAGCCTTTCCCCATGTCCGTGCAGCAGGAGACAGGAAATGGCTGTTGGCAGAGTTAATAAGGGAAGAGGGGCCGTCTTAACCCTGGTGAGCAGATGGACCATCTTGTGCCCTCCCAGGCCCTTCCTTGGCACACTAAGTGAAGCTGGGGACCAGGGGCCAGGGTTTCTGCACAGCCAGCTCTCCTGGGGCCCCCTCAGGTGCTGAAGGCAGGAACCAAAGCCTGGTATACACAGTCTTCATTTATTGTGAGTCCTGATGTCCAGGGAAGCCAGGCCCACCTCCAGGGCCCTCATGACTTCATCTGGCCACTCTTCAGGGGTGGGGGCAATAAAAAGTGGCCAGTCACTCATGTCCAGTTTTCCTATAGTCCAAAGAGTCCTCAGGAGGTGGGAAGCGGCTGTGCCTGTGGGGAAAACACATCAGCATCTGCTAGCATCTCTTCTGTGCCAGCCCTGGGCCCACTGCGGGGGAGATTATGGAGACATAGCAGAGGCTGCCCTTGCAGAGCCCACAGTCTGGAGGGAGAGGGTGTCAGGTGATGACCCTGGCCACCTGCCATATGAACATGTCAGACACAGTGAACTGTCACTGGGAGCAGCGAAGGCACTATTCCGCTGTATCTCTTGAGCACCTGTTGTGTGCCCAGCATTGTTACAGGTATTGGGACCCAGCAATGGATGCAGCAGGCACAAATCTCTGCCTCTAGGGAGGGACAGACAACAAATGAATAAAAATATGTCAACTGCTGATAAATTCTATGAAGAAAACTAAATCAGAATAAAGAGCAGAGGTGTGTGTGGAGGGGGAGGTATAAGTAGCACTTTAAATTGTCAGCTACATTAACATGAGATGTTCTATAAATTTTTTGAGATGTTTTATGAGATGAGACTGTTTTGTGTGTTTGCTATTTTGTAGAATAGAAAACAGAGGAGGCCTGAATCTCACTGCCACCAATCAGAGAGGAAAAGTTGTAACTGGGAAGCCATTACCAGGAAGGAAGAGGATGGTGAGATGGAGCTGGGTGTGGTGTTAATTACTCTGGGTGCACTGAGAAGCCACAACAAGGTTTTAAAGGAGAGGATGTGACCTAATATCCAATTTTAAAAGCTCCTTTGGCTGTCACGGGAGAGTAAACTTGGCAGGCAGGGGTGGCCATAGGAAGACCAGGGAGAGGCTGGTTGTCTGTCCAGGGAGGGAAGGAGTAACTGGCCCTAAGATGGGAAGGCGGGGTCTTTACTGTTCAGATGCTCAAAAAACTTGAAAGAAAGAAATGTCGCCAACATATGACTAAGAAACTAGCATGAAGAGTACACAATCATTACTGAATATTTTCTGAGAATTAAAAGTCCTTCCCACTGCTGTGTGCTCTTGGGGCCTGAACGTTTCACTTATCCCTGCCTTATTAGAAAAACCAATGACTACAGGGCCTGGTAGAAGGGCATCTCCCCAATCTTTAGTCAAGAACTCCTCTGAAACAGGCGATGGGAGGGAAGCAGTTACAAGGCAGTAAGATGTAAGCCACAGGGTCCTTGGGAGCCCAAGGATCAGGATGGGCCATCAGGGGAGGTTTTCTGAGGGAGGTCACATCTAAGCTGGAACAGAATTAGCCAGGTGGGTTAGGAAGGGCAGTCCAGACAGAGGGGAACAGTAGGGTAAAAGCCTGGCAGCACTTGAGTAACTGCATGTTCACTGGGGCTGGAACATGGGGCTTGAGGTAGAAAGTGAGGAGAGGTGGGGCCGCATCCTGCAAGGCCCTGTAGGCTGTGCCCGAGTTAAACTTAGCCTTGTGGAAGTGAGGAGCCATGGAAAGGTTGATCAGTAAAGAAGAACATGGTCAGATTCCTCTGAGATCACTCTGGGATCATCACAGAGAATGGGCTGAAAGGCGTAAGATGGAACATGGACACTTAAGAGAAGGCTTCTCTTCTAAGTGCAAGAAGAGAAGACGGGGCTGCAGGGTCAGAGAGAGGAGCAAATTCGAGGGTATTTAGAGGGGGCTGGTGAAAGGCAAGATTTTTGCCTTAGGAGCTCGCAGTCCAGTGGGGAGAGAATAAACACCTAAAACAGTTTTTCTCAACATGTTTCATTACTGTCCCCCAAGGGGACTTTTAGACATTTTTTTAAATTGTGCCCGTCTATGAAATTTTAATACCACAGATATACTGTATATCTGTTTCTGTACTGTATACATTGAAAAGAGCAAGACTTTTTCGCTCCATCCTCACCCCCTCTGCCAGTACAGCTGAGGGACAGTGAGGAAGGGAGAGAGAGACTGGGTAAGGGAGGAGGAGAGGACGTCAGCCTGGGGAATAACAGAGAACCAAGCAAGGACCTGGGATTTTTGTGCTCAATGTGACTAGGAAGCCATTGAACAGCTTTAAGCAAAGGTGTACTATGACTAGTTTTCAGGTCTTAAATGCCCCCTCTGGCCACGGTATGGAGGCAAGGCAAGAGGGGATTCAGGAGACCAGAGAGAAGGCTAGAGGTGGAGGGGTGGGGGAGACGGCTGGACTACAGCTGTGGAAGGGGCCAGAGGTGATCATGTTCTGGATTCTGGATGCACGGTGAAGGTCTGTGTGGGGGTGAGGTGGGGCTGAGGATAACTCCAAGGTCTTTACTCGGACCATCTAGAAGGGTGCAGGGGTGAGATGAACTGGTGAGCCCCCCATTTACCTCCACAGTCGAGGGTGAATGTGGCGGCTGCACCTGCTCAGCACACTGCAGGAAGCGGCGCACATGATCTGCACAGTTGCCAACTGCTGCCTCATTCTGTCGAAGACACTCCTCAAAGGCCTCAAAAGGCTCAGCACAGGCCTGGCGGATCTGACGGATGATTGGGCTGTGGGGGTAGGGCATTTCAGGCCCTTGGAGGCTTCCATTCCACTGCCCACCCCCCGACATTGTCCCATACTTGCCCACACTCACTGGGAGGATGTGCATCGAGCAATGCTCATCTTAAGGTGGTGACAGTCTCTCTGCCATGACTCAGGCTTGGCTGCCACACACTGGCCATACTGCTCCAGCTCCCGGCCACAGTAGCGTGCAGTGACCTCCAGGGCCGCCTGCCTGTGGTACACAGTAGGCTAAGGATAATTCCAGGCAACAGGCAGGAAAGGAAGTTCTCATCTGGGTCTGGGGTGGGACTAGGGGTCTTGTGCAGATCTGGGAGTCTGAAAGATCCTGGCATAGGGTCAGGGAGGTGTAGAAGTGAGGCATGAGCCCTGGGGGTTTTGCAGCTGGCTGGGGGCTTCTGGGGAGATACTGGAGGTGCTAAAAGGAGGTCTGATTATTCTAAGGCAGACCTTGGGGGTGCTGGAAGAAGGGTTTTGGAGTCCAGGCATCCCTCAGTAGGCCTGGGAATCATTCAGAGAAGGCTCAGGGCCTTAGAAGTAAGATCTAGAGTTCTAAGGAGAGAACCTGGAAGCCTTACATGGGTTTGGAGGCCCAAGAGGTGAGGTCTTGGGTCCTGGGGAAGGTCTCTTGACCAGAGAGTCTCGGAGATGAGGCTTGAGCACAGGGATACTGGAGGTGAGACTTGAGGTCCGGGATGGATTTGGGGGTCCGGGGGTGGGTTTGAAGGTCCTAGAGGCATGATCTGGAAGCCCTGGGTGAGGGGGCTCTAGGGACAAGGTCTGGAAATCCAGAGGTGTCTAGCAACAAGTCTCTGGGCCCTACAGGTGAGGTCTGGGGCAGTGGGTAGATCCGGAAGTTTCAAAAGGTAAGGTGAGGTGAGGTGATCTGGGGGGAGGAACTTAGAGCTCTACGGACGGGTTTAGCAGTTCTAGAGGTCCTGAGACAAGTCTGGAGTCCTAGGGTTGCAGGATGAGGGACCGGGTCCGGGGACCTGAGGGCAGAACTTAGGTGTTGAGACTGGACCTTAAAGTCTTCGGTGCCCACGAGACAAAGGGGCGGAGCCTAAACGCTCAGAGGGCGGGGCCCGGACACGCGGAGCGACGGGGCTAGTGAGGGCCGGCGCTGAAGCCCAAGGGTCGGATTTCCAAGAAACAGAGAGACCAATCCTTCTTCCTGGAGTCCTAGGCTAGGTCCGGGTCAGTGGGGAAGGAAGGGGGTACGGCGGCAGGTACGGGGTAGGCGCTCCCGCTACTCACATCTCGAGGCCGGTGCCGGTGGGGGATCAGTCAGGGAGGAGCGCCCCGCCTTTTCCGGTGTCAGTTGTCATGGCGGCGCCCAGCCCAACCCCCCTTGCCTCGTTTTTTCGGGTCGTAGAGCGGACAAGCCGCCCCTTTCCCTTCAGGGCCAACCCGTCATGGCGGCGCCCTGCCCCTCCTTCCGGTCTGTAATGGCGGCGCCCTGCACGCCACTTCCGGTCCCAGACGGCTCGGTTACTTCCTCCCCTTACGTTTGCGGCGGCGCCCGAAATTCACCGGAAGTAGCTAACGGGAAGTCGGAGGGTGTCTCGGCCCTCAAGCGCGTGCGGTGCTGAGCTGCGCGGCTCCTTGCGGGGCGAGGCCACAGCCACAGGCGTTGCTGGCCTCCCGACTGGAGCTGGTGGCGAGCGGCTGCCGCTGCTGCGACCCCTCACCACGCTGCCGTTCGTGACTTCGCTGGCCCCGTGGCTGCCACCCTCTGCCCTGCGCATGCGCTCGCTGTCCTCCCGGGATGGTGGCTCGTGCGCTCGGGAGGGCGTCAGGAAGGGGAGTCACCCTAAGAGCCGGAGCAGCTGGCCTGGACCTGCGATCGGCTCAGCCCGTTTTACCCAGACCGTGCCCCCTACCCCTTGCATAAGCTCTGAAGCCAGGAGGGACGTGAGTTTTAATTTTTGCTCCATGAGACCGTGGGGAAGCAAGTCTTTGCAGTTCCTCCTGGTGTGGTGACGTTTCCGCCTCCTCGTCTGTCCTCCAGTGTGAGGCGTTTCCCCGTCTGTGAGACTGGGCATGAGTATTCCTTGGTCAGAGAGCTGAGCATCAGTGCTGCCATCTTGTATGCAGAGGTCGTCCCAGACTCCAGTCAAAATGAACGGAAAATGCAGTTAATCATAGTGTTTAAGGGGACCAAGAGCTGTTTGTGAGCTAGTGACAGTTACTTGGAGTCTCAGTGTACTCGTCTGTAAAATGGGGATAAAGACAGTGACATCCTTCACGCCCTTCACATGAACGGGTTAGCACAGAGCCTGGACCTCAGGGGTTCTGGATAAGGGAGAGCTGTTACAGGAGGCTGCAACAGTGAGCTGCCCTGTTTGGAAGTTGACGTCTGATAATGGCACCACTGGCCGTCTGAACCTGCCTCAGATGGCACAAGTAGGTTTGGGGCCATGGGCACTGAAGGAAAGCTTTTCAGCCCGAGGCCCTTGTGTTCTCCTTCCTGCAAAAACTTCCAAGTATATTTTTGGTAGGAGAGGAGGGAAAGAGAACAGCATCAAGGTCAGAGGACGCTTTGGCTTTAAAAGCGACTGAATCCTCAGATCTTCCTTTCCTGGGAGAGTGAAGTCCTAACCTCTCCCATGCCCTCTCCCTGAATCTTATCCCGAAGTCCAGGTAATGTGCTTCCTCAGGGGAATGGGTTCAAAGGCCTGGGCTTGCTGTAAGTAGGTCCAATGACAATCCCAGCGGGGGACAGCCCCCCTTGGGGAGTGTGGCACTTGTGCCCCCAAACTTCTAGTTGCCTTTTGGCCTGTGGCACAAGAGTGTAACTAACTTCCTCTCTAGGGATCGAATGTAAGGGAGACCTGAGTGACCGTGGGGTTTGGAGTGAAGCAGATCTGCGTTTGAGTGTGAGGTCTGGACAGGACAGTTCTGCTCTCTGGGTTTTACGTTCCTCCGGAACAGCTACTCCAGGATACCCTTGTGAGAGGCAACTGAGGTGACATATGCAGAGCACCTTCGTCCTTGCCCTTTCTAGCCTTATCAGAGTTTGTTGTTACTGTATGTGTGTTTTTTTTTTTTTAAGATTTTATTTATTTATTTATTTCCCCCCCCAAAGCCCCAGTAGATAGTTGTACGTCATAGTTGCACATCCTTCTAGTTGCTGTATGTGGGACGCGGCCTCAGCATGGCCGGACAAGCGGTGCGTCGGTGCGCGCCCGGGATCCGAACCCCGGCCGCCAGTAGCAGAGCGCGCACTTAACCACTAAGCCACCGGGCCGGCCCAGTATGTATTTGTTTATTTGCTTATTTTCTGCCTACGTCAAAATCCTGTGAATGCTGTGAAGGAAGGGGCCTTGTATCTATCTCATGGTCACCAGCTGGGTGCCCCACATGCAGCATGGGGCCTCACAGAGTAATAATAGAATGAATGAAACAACAGGATTGCGTGAGAGTAAGATGAAATCCAGTCATCACTCGTATGATACTGATCGAGTGCCATGTATGTGCCAGGAACTGTTCTAGCTGCTGGGGAAACAGCCGCGAATAAAACAGACAAAAATTTATACTGTTAAAAAATGATTAAAGACGACAATTTAGGTGATACACACAAACTTTATGTAACGCTTTTTGAAGTGGACAGTCTTCATTCTGTCAGCAAAATGGGGTGGAAGGCAGGAAGCTTCTGGAGGATAAAGAATAAAGAACAAGCAAGAGAAAAATAGAAAATATCTGATGGGCTGGGGCCACCCCAGTCACCCTTGTTTGGAGTGAGAAGGAACAAGGAAAGAAGTGTAGAGCCCAGAGTAGGCTGGGCATTTGGGGACAGGCTGACTGGATAGCCTGCATTTCTGGTCAAGTGGAGCGTTACAGGGACATGAAAGTTATCTAAGTTTTGGCTCTCTGGACAGGAGCAGCTCCATCTTGGGCCTAGTTGTTTCAACAATACCATAGTGGAGTTTAACATTCTACTGGGCAAGATAAACAATAATCAAAGTAAACAAGAAAAACATATACTAAATTAATGATGACTGCTAAAGAGAATGATCAGTCTGGGAAGGGAATGGGAAGTGTTGGGAGAGTGGCAGTTTTTGGTGGAGTGACCAGGGAAAGTGTGATACTGGGATTATAATAAGAAATATGTATTTGGTCTTCTCCGCTGTTCCTGGCATAGACCTCTTAAATTCCCTTGGAATTTCCTAAGAGAGGGACAGAGGTGTCTTCTGTTATGTTAATGAGGTGACTTTTAGACGGAACCTAAGGATGGGGCTGGGTGCCAGGAGAACCAACCATGTGGTTAGAAGGTTTGAACTTGCAGTCCTGTCTCTGACCTCCAGGGAGGGACTGGAGGTTGAATTAGTCCCAATGGCCAATGATTTAATCAATCATACCTATGTAAGGAAGCCTCCATAAAAACCGAAAAGGACTGGGTTCGGGGAGCTTCTGAGCTGGTGAGATTCAGGAGAGTGGCGCCCTCAGAGAGAGCCTGGAAGCTCTGTGCCCTTTTCCCTTACCTTGCCTTATACATCTCTTCCATCTGGCTGTTCCTGAGATATATCCTTTTATAATAAACTGGTAATCTAGTAAGTAACATGTTTCTCTGAGTTCTGTGAGCCGCTCTAGCTAATTAATAGAACCCAGTGAGGGGGTCATTGGAACCTCCAATCTATAGCCATTCGGTCAGAAGCACAGGTGACAACCTGGACTCACCATCGTCAGCTGAAGTGTATGTGTGTATGGGGGGGCAGTCTTGTAGGACCGAGCCCATAACCCGTGGAATCTGATGCTACCTCTGGATAAATAGTGTCAGAATTGAGTTGAGTTGTAGGACACGCAGCTGGTGTCTGGAGAAGTGCTTGTGGTGGGGAACACCGCTGCCTCTCCCATTGGAATTGGGTACAGAACTTTAGAAGACCTCCCTGAGAGGGCACCGTTTGAGCAAAGACCTGAAGAGGGTGTGGGAGTGAGCCACGGGGACAAGTGTCCCAGACAGACAGAACAGCAAGTGCAAAGGCCCTTAGCTGAGGCGGGAACATGCAGGATGCATTCAAGGAGCAACAGGAGAGGCCAGTTTGGCCGGAGCAGAGGGAGCCATGTGGGAGCAGAGGGAGCCATGTGGCGGATGATAGAGGAGATAAGGCAGTGACAGGAGGCCAGACGGCATGGGGCCTTGTGGGCAGTTATAATGACTCTGGCTTTTACTCTGAGTGAGATGGTGAGTGGGGCCCTGGGTTCTGTGTTTTTAGTAAGCTTCCCAGCGTAATTCTACCCATGATCATGTTTGAGGATTCAGTGAGAAGCCAGAGAGGCAAAAAGGAAGCGCCTCCTTTAGGCCAATTCTCTTAGGAAGTGGGGTCCTGGTATTGGTACCCTCTATGAGGAGTATCCTGGAAGCAAAAACACTCGAAAACAAACATATACAAAAACACAACTCACCTTTTAATTAAAGATTCATTTGGTTTAAAAGTACCTTATTAAAAATGCAAGCTCCCTGGGCAGAGTTACTGTTGGCTTTCTTCCTAATGTTTAGTTAGCTGAGCATAGCACTGAGAATTGGGAGAGATTGAGAGGGGAGGAAGAATCAGCTGTTTGATTTTATTCGAGATAGCAAATTTCAGCAGGAAGAGAGCAGGGTGTGGTGAAAGGAATGGGATGGGAGGTCAGTTGTCTGGAGGTCTCATGGGAGGGGTCTGGTCAGGGGCAGATGTCAGGGCATGGCAGAGTTGTTCGTTTTTAATTTTTTTATCCAGCTTTGTTGACGTATTATTGACAAGTGTGACAGGTAAAAATTATATATATTTGTATATTTAAGGTGTACAATGTGATGTTTTGATATATATATACACTGTGAGATGATTACCACAATCAAGCTGATTCACATACCCATCACCTCACATAGTTACCATTTTTGTGTGTGTGATGAGAACATTTGAGATCTACTCTCAGCAAATTTCAAGTATATGATACAATATTGTTAACTGTAGTCAGTATGCTGTACATTAGACCTCCAGAACTTATTCATCTTATAACTGAGTTTGTACCCTTTTGCGTAACATCTCCCTATTTCCCCCACACTCCAGGCCTGGCAACCACCATTCGACTGCCTGTTTCTATGAGTCTGACTTTTTTAGATTCCACATGTAAGTGAGATCATACAGCATTTGTCTTTCTGTGTCTGGCTTATTTCACTGAGCATATAGTCCTCCAGGTAGCGCATGTCAGATGTGATGGGGGTGGGAGGGAGTCTGTGATGGGGTGGGTGCAGGAAGAGGGGTGGGAGGATGCACTTGTAAAATGTGACCAACCCACAGAGAGTCTTAGTCCAGTGCTTTGATCCCTGGCGAGACTGAGGGCCGCCACTGATGGCAGCACAGAAACGACTTTGAGGAGCTATCTCGGTGGTGTAGCGGTTAAGTTCGTGCGCTCTGCTTCGGCGGCCCAGGGTTTGCC